AAATCAGGATATTCAAACGGGAAGGCAGTGTTCTGAAAACGCCGCCGCACCCTATAAGCTGCCCCAAACGGGTCCTAAGTCACCTTCACTTTTTTATTTTAACATTAAGAGCAATTGAATAATTATGAATTAATGGGACTATAGTCATAATATTATTTTTATTTGTAGTAATATTATTGTAATATGATGGCTAGTAAAATTAAATTAACTATACATTTGTACACCAGTAAAAAAGAGGATTAAATTTAAAAATTTTGATTTCTTGCAAAATAATATCTCCTTACAACCCATTTTATTGAGTTTTACACTCGGCTTATAAGGCCTACAATAAATAAAATGGCCCCAAGTGTTACAAATAATAAGTTGGATATTTGAAATGTAGAATCTTAAATTTATTTATTTTTTTATTTTTACATCTATTTGATTTGATTGCTTATAATTAGAAAAATGTTTTATAAAACATGAATATGCTAGATTCTTTTAGTATAGAATTTTATCAGGTTCCATTATTTAGTTGGATAAGAAGTTTAAATGCTATGGATTCATTCAAAACTTGTTAGAAGAGTATTTATTTTAACAAACTGAGTAAAAAAGGAAATTAATGTTTTTTAAATCATATTTTCTTTCCACAAGTAACCAAAAGAACCTTAACATTATTTTAATATTTTTTTAGTGAACATAATAATGAGTGGCTAAGTGGTATTAATGGTGGTGCTCAAGTTAGGTGAATTTACATTTTTGCCACCAAAATTTTGTCATATTATTTTGAGGACTTCACAGGCATGCAATTTCTTTTTCATCCTTTAAAAACATGGAGAAAATTTTCTGTCCGGACTCCGGATGTAGCTTTGCGTGCGGATTCCAGCAATATTCTGTCACGTGTGCTACATCGCGGACGTTATTGGGGGTTTATTGAAATGAAACCGCAGAGGTTATTGGGGGGTTATTAAGGGGTTATTAAGGGGGTTAATGCAAGAGATTATTGAATGGAAGCCGCGGAAATTGAAACCGCGGAGATTATTAGGGGTTATTGAGGAGTTATTGCGGGGGTTATTGGAGGGAGTTATTAAAGTGGAACCGTGGAGGTTATTGAGGGTTTATTTGGGGGATATTGGGGGTTATTGCGGTGTTGTTAGAGTGGAACTGCGAAGGTTATTGGGTAACCCAATAACCTCAAAATAACTCTCCAAATAACATCCGCAGTTCACTCCAATACCTCCGCGGTTCCATTTTAATTTTTTTTTTAGGTGGGCTCGATATAGCACACATGACTGTATATTATTGGGAATCTGCACATAGTGCTACGCCCGGAGTTCAGACAGAAAATTTTTCCTAAAAACATGACCATTTTAACTCTTGTTTATTATAGTTGGGATTATTTTAATGATGTGCACGTGGCAAGTATCCAACCATCCATTAATTTAAGCAAAAGGTTATCCCCCTTAGGCTCACAAGCCAATGTGGTGGCGATCTTATGATGTTGTTGCTTGGAAAATGGCCAATAGAATTTAGGGGCATTCTCATGCATAACACCCAATTCCTTTGTATTTACATGTCTAATACCTGAACTTTTCTTTTTTACATTTATACCACTCAAATCTTTTATATCACATAAAAAATACCACTATTTGAACTTGTAAAAAGTAAAATTCATATTTTCATGCATAAGGTGTTATATAAAAATTGATGTTCAGGTGAGATGTGTAAATACATAGGAATTCAGTGGTATATATGTAAATCTTCCTTGTATTTAAAACCATGAGAAATACTGTTTATGCCAACAAAGAATAGCTTAAAGAAAAACACAACTATGTGGGGGAAAAATCCTTCTAATGATGAAATAATACGATATAGCCACGCTGTACTTTTATGTTGGGCTTTTTTTTTGTTTGCTTGAATATATTAGTTATTATCTTGGTGTCAGAAATTATGCTGTTCTAATTAATTGTGTAGATTTATCCAATCCAAACTTGCAAGCTTGTGAACAACACAGCAGAGGAAGCATATCACCAGCTATAAATCAAATCATAAATCGCAGGAAACATTAGGGTTGAAACCAATTAACAAACTAAGCACCTTAGGTTTAGTAGTTTACAGCCTATCATAATTTTTTTTTCATTTTTTAATAATCAACCGTATATTCAATAGATAAGATCTTTTGGTGAAAAGAGGAGCCCGTAAAAGATTTTTTTTTCTTTTTTTGCCCAAATATTATAAGGAAGATTTACATACACTACTCAATTCCCATGTATTTCGCGTTTTAAAAGTTAGAATAGTGTATTTTTTATGTATTATGAATGATTTGGGTGGTATACATGTAAAAAGCAAATTTTAGGTGTTAGATATGTAAGTACATAAGAATTCC